GGGTTCAAGTTCATTGTATGGTGCAGGTTACTAAACTGTATCTAGTGTGCTAAAGATCGTCGCAAATAATTGGTAGAACCCGCTAAAAGCTCATTTTCTGTAAGACCTAGATGTCGCACATCATCTTCAGTATTCGAAAAATGGCCCCGTTTTATGTCAATTCGAAAGTGACAAAAATATTCAAAGGCCAGCACTAAAAAACAAGAAGCCCCGTATTTTGACAGAACGTCAGGAAGCCATGCATGGACGCGTTAAGAGCGTGGAGCGCGAGAAGGAGCAGCACAAGACGGATGCGCAGCGCCAGGAGGAGCTCTCCAAGGTGCGCATGTACCACGAGGTGGCGGGTAAAGTCCTAGACATGAAGCGTCAGCAGCTCTACGAGCCAAGCGTCCTACCACTGACCAGCCACCTATTGCTGCTCAACCCCGAGTTCCACGTGGTCTGGAGCTACCGCCGTCAAGCCATCGACGCGCTAGCTCAAAAAGCCGAGAACCCCGAGGCTGAAATGCTGACTATGGCCAAAACGGAGCTCAAACTAACGCTGGTACATTCGATTTTCAGCGTATTTTACGTTTAATCGCTGATATTAACACTATGTAAACGTTGCAGGACGCACTGCAACGTAACCCCAAGTCGTACTCTGCGTGGTTTCAGCGCCAATGGATCATTGACAGAGGACTGGGCGACCTGAAGATGGAGATCGGACTGTGCGACAAGCTGCTGAATCTAGGTAAAACCATGTTGTTTAAACATTTTTACTTTTGGTCATACTATACTAAACTTGTTTTTAACTAGACGAACGCAATTTCCATTGTTGGAACTACCGTCGACATGTGTGCAAACTGGCTGGCGTTTCTAAAGCCGAGCAGCTGGCCTTCACCACGCAGAAAATCGAGCAGAATTTCTCCAACTACTCGGCTCTACACCACCGTAGCATTACCCTGCCAGAACCGTTATCTGCCGACGTGCTATTTGATGAGATCGGACTGGTCCAACAAGCGGTATTCACCGAGCCAGACGACCAGAGTGCCTGGTTCTATTACCGCTGGTTGCTGACGTCCATGGTGGAGCTGGTCGAGTCGTCTGCCGAGGACGCAAGTGGGTTCCTGAAGAGCCAAGTCCAGTGGCTAAACGAGTTGTTGGAGATGGAATCGGAAGCCAAGTGGGTTGTCGTCACACTTGCCGATCTGCAGTTTCGTCTGAGTGTTATTACCGATGTGAGTGGCTGGGAGGAAGCGAAGAAACGCAGTGTGGGACTCTATGACCGCGCCATCGCCCTGGATCCGGACCACCGCCACTACTATGAGGACATGAAGAAGAAACACGTCTGAATAATTAAAAAAAAGTAGTAGTAGTAGAAAAAAAAAGTGCAACGAGAGAATTGGGGAACGTAGAGACAAGCTATCTTGTTTTGACTTCGATTGATACATGTATTTGTCATGCTCCATGCCATTCGTTCAGCAAGTTCAATCTAACGCACCTCCACATTTTCACGACAGTTTTTGTAGCCGTTTTTGATGTACGAGATAAGGCTCTCATCTTTCTTAAGTTTCTTCATGGCACTCACGACTTCAGCTTCTGATAATCCCAATCCCTTCCAGACGGCAAGCGCGTCAAAGTACTTCTTGGCGTTCCCGAGCATGTCGTCATACAGCTGGGAAGTTTCCAGCCACTTCGTCCTCATTGCTTGAGCAGCTTCTGGCGCTCACACCGGTCGGAAGCTTCGAGCTCGAGCCGAGAATAACTCTCTCCTCTTGAGCCTTGTTGGTGATAACCTTTTCAAGTTCACAGAGACATGCCCCCCTCAACTCTCGCGTTTTCTATGTGATAGTGCATAGCAGAATCAGGAGTATACGAGTTGACCGTCTTGCCAGCAGCGAGCAAGGAATTGCTATTGTTGACCAAAAAGGGTGGGGGAGGTAAAACCGAGGCACATCATATCTCCCTGCCTGGTAAGAGAGAAGGACCCACCTGCTTTTATGCTCTTCAGAAGGAATTCCACTGTGGAACCGACACGACACTTTCCACAACCGCG